TCTGGCCCCTTCCGGCCCATTTATGCCCGCTAGGTTCGTTTTGCATCTTCTCCCCCTTTCCCTATTTATAGGAGGGTTTCCTTCCATTTTAGGGGTTCCATTCTCTTCCTCTTCCACGACTTCTACTTCTCCCTTTATGAGCTTGGAGCTCTATTAATGGCTTCTAAGATTTAATACTTGTACTAAAATGGTGAAGAGTATATTATAAAATGAAATTGGTTTGGACATTAGCACGAAAAGTCTCATAGCTTTTACCCTTTCAGGTTTCCACCTTTTCGAGTTTTCACGTCAAAATAGTGTTCACATACTTTTATACATTAATTTGCTATTTCGTGTTGAATTTATTTGAACACTATAGTTATTATTAGTATTTTTAAAATTATATTATCATTATTATTAATATGGTATAATTTACATTATTGTTATTTATATTATTCATATTATTATTATTATTTTAGCCTTACAACAATTTATATAAATTATATGGAAATGTTATACTCGAACACGTAGTGCAAGATATTGACTATATAATTATACATATGCATATTTCACGGATGTTTTTTAATGCGATTAAATTTTCTAATTTGGTTTGGTTTAATCTATATAAATTCGGTCTGGTCTGTTATAGTATGGTCTAATCTAAACTGGTCTGGTCTTATCTAATTTGCTTAAATTTGGTCTAGATTTGATCTGATTTTGACTAGTCTAGGACTGAAATCAAATCTCAGCTTCGCTAAGTTGGAAGGAAGATAATTGTTTTTATCTATATATGAATAAAAATTAATTTTAGGAACTATAATACTACCTCCTTTCTTAAATAAATGCAACACTTTGACTTTTACACTATTGACATATTCTACTTTGACTACATTTTATTTATTAATGTAATAATATTATTTTACGAAAAAAATATTTTTAAACTTGTCTCATTGTAAATTTTCATAATCTAATTTTTCTAATTTTTTTACTAATACAAAATCTTTTATATTAATGGTCAAAGTTGTGTCTCGGTAAGTGTGAAATGATGACCGTTGTATTTATTTAAGAACGGAGGAAGTACATAAATAATACTCCTTCCGTCCCAAAATTATCTTCATAGTTACTATTCACATGGTCAACTCAAATTACTCTTAATCTTTTACTTTATATATCAAATATTTATCAAATTCAAATTTTCTTAATCAGGCTTTGTGGCGGTTTTAATGTAGTTTCTGAATATGTAAATTTTATTTACTAAAAATAATTCGAGTGTGAACAGGGATCAAGTTGCTTTATCGTCAGTCAAACATCGTAAACCGAACTATGAAGATAATTCTGGGACGGAGGTAGTACTTCAATTGAAATAAAATTTAAGACCAGACTAGAGCGAACAAAAAAATACATCCTTACTAACAAAAAAATCATTCTTATGTAACCAAAGTCATAGATACAAGCTAGACAACTTGCCTGTTGAAAGAACTCCGGTTGGCGCATCTCCTCCAGTGTTTCGGGATTCATAGTGGATGGAGTAAGAATCTGAATGTGGAAAACAAAAACAAATAAATCATTCTTATTCCTTACAACCGTACCTAATAAATCTGAATGTGGTATAAATGCACTTATGAACGAGAAGCTAAAAATGAATGGATGATAATTTTTCCGAAATTACAAAAGCAAAACTGTGTAATTGGAGTAAATCCAAACACAAAAAACAACTGTGTAAATCTAAACAAACTTATATAGGAAAACTGTGTTTTCTTAATAGAGCCCTAAAACAAAAGCAAAACTGTGTAAATGTAAGCAAATCCATATATTATTGACTATGTGCAAATGCCCAATATTTTTGCCCATTTTGCTTAATGGGCGTGTAGCATAGGATTTAGAGTAGCGGTATGGGCATAGTGCAGCACTGCAGCAGCCTATATATGTTCCAAAAGAGATGTCAAGATTAAAGGCTAGTAAGTACTACTTTGACATGTAATAAAGTAGCTAGGTGCTGTAAATCTGTAATCGGATGACATGCAATAAAGTAGGTTAAGTAGCTGGGTGTTGTAAATCCGTAATCTGTTTTTTAGATACCGTTTGCTAAACCTTTATTTTGTCTTATCAAGCTTATCAGCCAACTTTTTTTATTGTAACATTTGATTTTTACTGAATTATATAATAATAAGAAAAAAACTAAGGTTGGGGAACTTTTCTGGCTAAGTCACTATACATGACTATTGTAGCTATTTTTAGATATAATTTTTTCATTATTTTATTAATCAACTATATTTTAAAATAACTTTTTCTTAAATAAGCAGAATCAGCCATTACAGACACTTCGGCCACAACTTCATAAATTTTAGCAGAATCAGCCGAATCAACCGATTTTCGTGTTACCCAACGGGCTCATAAACGCAGAAACGGATCAATGGAAAATAAAACAACAAAAAAGTTATTTGTACTCATCTTTATACTCACCACCTAAATGCAAGGTTTTTTTGTTTGTGAGCTCCGTGCACAACCAATATTTTTTTTTGCAAAATTTTCACAGACAAGAAAAATCTTTACAAACTTGATAGGTACAAGATGAGTATATCAAACATCTAATCCTATCCTACTATATACAAAACCAAGTGGAATAGCAGGCAAATTTTCCGCCCAAAGTTGGGTGAATTAGGGTCGGGTCAGGTCATTTGACCAAATTTAATACGGAGTAGTTTGGCTAATTTAATGCTCATTGGGTAGCGCACTTTGTCTGTTGCGTGTGGGAAGCACATATAAGCAAGGGTTAAACAAGGATTGCAAGTTTTTTTAATCAGCGGCCGTGACCCCAAGGATCGAGATAGCAATAGGCTAAGGACAATGAAGCACGCAAACGTTAAACGGTGAAAATCCGTTTCAGAATGCCAAAATGCAGGAAATCTTTTTTGGTTCCAAGGAGAAAATTAAAGTAGGTTGTTACTATCAGCTTGTTTGTTGCATATATATATATATATATATATATATATATATATATATATATATATATATATATATATATCCTCCCTGTAAATTTTAGTGAATGTTAGCCTTAAAACAAAACTACTATGAATGGAACATCTGCATTGTTCTTAAAAGAGTTGTAACAGGTACATGATATACTGATATACCTCTTCATCTTGGCAAATGACCCCGGCCTGGAATGCTGAGGAACTTGGACGCTGTCAATACAAAAGCTTCGTTGTTGTGATGCAGATAAAATATACGGAGTAGTTGTATTTATACAGTAAATTTTAATAGCTTTGGACTAATACAGTAATACCCAATGGTTAATAGATGGAGTGTTGTTTGAAATGAAATCTGAATGGACAGGACATTGCTGACTAGCCAGATACTCTATTTGCTTTTAATAATATCCTGAAGAGATTCGTACTGACGCACTTCTTTTTTCCAAAAAACTGATTTACTTAGCTGACACGCGAGCTAATTGTAAGACGCAAGCTTTTTTCAAAATTCAAAAACAATGTACTCCCTCCGTCCCCTTTTAAAAGTCCCGGAAGAGAGTGGCACGAGTTTTAAGAAAAGTGGGTTTGTGTGGTTGATATTAATTGATAAAGTAGGAATAAAGTAAGAATAAACTAATAATGATTTTGAGCCATCCCAATATGATAAAATGAGACATGTTTTTGTTGGTGTTTTGGACGGAAAATTGGCCTGAATTCCATTTGCTTTTATATTGAGTTAGATTTCACAAATTAAATGAAATAAAATTGTTAAAATATGGGGTTCTATTCTAAAAAGTCAATCTGTTAAGAGGAGTAGTTCATATCTTAATATAGCACTTTTGATTCAAACTTTTCCGATGTGTGATTCTAACACCCTCCTCACGACCACACATTTCGCCTGGATCGTGCCGTCATTCTTTTTTTGGGATTCAAAATGGAAGTGTACGGAACTTTTAAATACATACAGTTAAAGAGCGCAGTGATCTTCAAGAGTTCATTTGAATGCCTTCTCGATTGAAGTTTTAGCTGAAATTTGGTATGAGTAAACTAGCTTTAACGAATAAGACACTAAAAAAATTATCAAAAAAATCCACCGATAACCGCCCCAAATGATGGCCGGACAAAGCCCCTATATAAGGGTTATTTGACTTTTATGTAAATACAAGATCTATCTTACCCTTTTACAATCTTTTACCTAGTACTCCGTACAAAATATGTCAACGCGGTATGAAATTACCTACATACTACGTCCGTCTCGAAAACAAGTTTCCGGGTTGACTTGTACACATTTTAAGTAAATAAGGTTACTGAGGGGTAAATTTTATTGTTTTGACACTGTTTGACATTGTTTGACAATGTTTGACACTGGTTTGCACTTTTTATGTAGATAATTTGCCAAATAAAGAAATGAGAAATTTATTTTAAGACAACCAATAAGGAAAGTGAGAACTTGTTTCCGGGACGGAAGGGAGTAGTAAACTTTATGAAGTACTTTACTTTGTCTGTATTTCATTTAATTATGATTGTCTTTAATAATATTTTGTTTATTTGTTCTTGTAATTTGTTTGATCATTTTTTGAACTTGTCTGTATTGCATTTACTAATGTCTGTATGTAATAATATTTAATTAATTTGTTCTTGTCAGAGGTTTGATCATTTTTTAAACTTTATCAATTACTTCACTTTGTCTGTATTTCATTTTTTAATGTATGTCTTTAATAATATGACATTCATTTCAACTTTTCATTTGTTTGATCATTCTTTGATCTTGTCTGTATGCATTTAATAATGTCTGCATTTCATAATCTTTTATTCATGTGTTCTAGTAGTTGGTTATCAAGTACTTTGTCTGTATTTCATTTTATAATGTATGTATTAAATATTATTATATTGATATATTCATTTGTTATTTGTAAGTGGTTTTATTTTGGTTTAAAGTTGATGAAGGAGTTTGTCTGTATAGTATTGATGAATAATGTCTGTATTTAATTTATATAAATTAGTCTGTGTATACATTTTCATTAGTCTGTGTATAAATTCACAGATACATGTGCACAAGAAGTCGATGAAGGAGATGTTAGTGTGGTTGTTCCGGAAGTGGGCATGAAGTTTGAAAGCACAGACGCGGTGTATGAGTTTTACAAAAAAATATGGTAGAACTGTAGGATTCCCGGTTACAAAAAATACGCGGTGTATGAGTTTTACAACAATTGACCAAAAACAAAGAACCTAACTTCACACGGTCCATGAAATCTTCTTCATCATGGGGGGTATCGCTGAGTTCTATGATCTTCGCCTTCAACTTGCCATAACTTACATCATCACATCCGCCAAGTATTTGTCAACGACTCCCAACCGGCCATCAACATCATACGCTGGCCACTTGACAGGATCTTGGATAGCAGTTATCCTCTTAAAGTCATCATATGTGAATTTCATCAACTTTCCATCCACGGCAAAACCACATCTCATCCTCGGGCCGATCACGAACAAGGCGTAACAATAACAGATGAATTAGTCGAGCATAGAATTGTAGCTGTGCAACATCAAGCAAGTGTCCAAAAGGCGTCTTTGTGAGCATCAACCACTGCTTCAATGTAAGGCATTCACTAAGGAGTTCCAAGGCCTCTAAGAAGGCAGACCGTACAGAGTACTGCGCGGGAAAGTGTTCTTTGAGAGGAATTTGCAATTCCATCCTAAACATATTGACATAGACATTTGTCAAAAACACAGACATCTCATGTACACACAACCCATGCTGACAGACATCTCAGGAAAATCATATAGACAACTGAAAAATGCACAAACGTAAATTACAAAGTACACAAACATCTAAAGAAAAATAATATACACAGTACACAGACATCTCAGGAAAACCATATAGACAAGTGAAAAGAACCACAAACGTACGTAGTATATAACAAACTACACAGACATCTCAAGAAAATAAGATGCACACTACACAGACGTCTCAGTAACACCATATGGACAAGTGAAAAGAACCACACACGTATATAACAAACTACACAGACATCTTAGGAAAATAATATACACATTACACAGACATCTCAGTAACACCATATAGATAAGTGGAAAAACCACAAACATATACGTATAACAAAGTACACAGACATCTCAGGAAAATAATATACACAGTACACTCACTTCTCAGTAACACCATACAGACAAGTGATAAAAACCACAAACGTATATAACAAACTACACATGCCATACAGGCAACTCTCACAAACTTAGACATCTGCAAATGCCATACAGGCAACTCTCAAGTCGTGTACAGACATGTTTATACTGCACTCTCAAATCGTGTACAGACAAGCGTATAAGAACACGCTACACTGACATCTCACAAATGACAACAACATTTAAGAACACACTACACAGCCATCTGAAAAACCGCAAACATATAAGAACACACTGAAAACGGAATACACAAGTCACTCCAAACATGGTCAAAATCAGATCAGAACATGAGAAAATACGATTTTACTCCAAACAAAAAACACATTATACACTACAAAATGGTAAAAAGCAAGCAAATTGACATAATAGCATATACACAGGCTGAAGTAAACTTCAACTAATTCATGCATGTCAATAGTTCACTGAAAAACAACCAAGAACAAACATAAACTCAAAAATACAAGGGTTGTCCACCTAAAAAAATTAACTCCAAAATTTACGCAGAAATAAACTCAGAACAAGGTTTAAAAAATTACCTTTGAGTCATTTCCGTCAATGAAGTGCGAACCATTTCCTCGCCGCCAAGGGGTCGTCTGACTTTCGTAGTTCCGCGCAGACGCCAGAGGAAGTAGCGACGGACTTCGATGGAGAGGGGGAGCGCCGAACTTCGATGGAGAGTGGGAGCGCCGAACTTCGATGGAGAGGGGGGGCGAAGGAGTGGTATGGGACAGACAAACGAAAATAATGGGACAGACAATTCGTTGGCTGCACATGGTGGTTACGTTTGGAATGGAGGAGAGAGGGTGGGGGTTAAATGGGTTAGAAAAAGGGAGAGAGTGGGCTTTTTATGATGTGTAGTGCTGTGTACACAGCATTTTCCAATAATTTAAGAGGACGGAGCTGTCCGGCTAAGCTTTTTTCTTTTTTGCACGCAAAAGAAATCAAAGAACCAAAAGTAACTTGGGTGGCCTTTCAAAGGCACGGAAGTAGAAGATCAATTACTAGTTACTACGTATTTCTGAAGACTTTCACTTTACTGGGACAGCTGGATTAGTTGATCAACTTTTAGACCCAGTTTCTAATTAACCGTGTTTTTGGGCGGAAACTTGGACATCTTTCCACTCTCTTTTGTATGAAGTACATAGTTAGATATGGTAGTTCCGTCGATGTTTCTGATGAACACAATCGTCGAAAAAATGATCACAAATGATTAAAAACACTAATCAAATATAAAAGTGAACAAAGTTATAAAGTTGGACTAAATGCAAGTAGAATTGACATAAACTCATCATAACATAAAAAATGAAATTAAATCAAATAAGGCCATAGTAAATTTAAATAAGGCAATATATACTAGATCAAACTTATAAACTAATTTGATATTGTATGATAACATGTACTAGTATTTTTTTTAAATCAAATACTACCTCCGTTTAAAGGTTCTCATGTCAAAACAGTGCTATTATTTAGACTATAATTAAATCTACTAATTCGAATATGTTTTGAGAAATAATCTTGATGAATATATAATACAATGAGTTATTAATGATAACTAAAATGTTATAAATGTATTATTTTTAATACTTGATGATTAAATTGTTATTTAAGAGTGTTAATTGTTTCCTAAAATAGAAAGTGGAAATTTTTAAGTGGGACGTCCAAAATAAAGAAAGTGAGAACCTTTAAATGAGACGGATGTAGTAAATAATTTATTCAAATGATAACAAAGAAACAAGAGAACGAATAGGCAAACCCCACAATAATGTAGTGTGGTGTAAGAGCTCTATTGCACTTGGTAGTTCTAAAAAACAAAAATTTTACATATAAAAGAACACCTGCTTCACCAGCCATCGTAAAGGAAGAATTGCTTCAGTGCCTATATCGTACCACTAGTTGTACAGTAAGTAGCTTACAACTGGTGGCATTTCCGTAACTTAAGTGAAAGTCGCAGCTTCCCCAAAAATGAGCATTAATGTACATCACTTTTTTTTCTTTTATAAAAACTTATTAAAGTGTATCTATAATCAACTCATACGAATTTCAATATGGGAATTCATTGTGATGTCCGTTTCCAACACTGGTAACAAACAACATGTTTTCCTGATGAAGGTTTTCCTTCTCGTCTTGATATTTTAGATTACGGTGCAAAAGATGTCAAGAGGTTGTGCTTGTATATATGTATATGGTTATTCTACCTCTCTTCAGGAATTTGAGCGCTGACCAATCCTTCTAAATACAAGTGGTCACACGAAATAGTGTAACACTCATTTATTGAGTTGTAGGTTAAGATTGTGCAGTGGGTTGCCTTGGATCTTATGCACTTAAGGATGTGGGAGTTTCAGCGAATACTCTTTGACACTGAGCAGCTCTAATCATTAGTATTTCTACCAGGATATATATTAGATCTCAAATATTCATCTTCTGTTGGTTCAAGTGTTCAACTTGATAGTTGCCTCCTCTTTAGATATTGAGTTTCTTACCACTCCTGAAGCCAATACACCTAGGGCATCTTTAACTCAATACGGATGTAATGCTCTAAAGTTGCATGTCTCAACCACTCAGAACATTGTGTTGGAGTATGAGATTTATCCAAGACTCTTGATGACCAACATATTTCATTTTAATTTGATTATACATTGGCTACTAAACACTACATTAAAAAATGTGTAAGGATATTTGGATCGACTAACATGAATCGATCCATGATATCAGAGTCACAAAGAGAAAAAGATAAGAAGAATAAAAAGACAAAGTAAGATAAAGATAAATATAAAATAAAAATAACATTAGAACATAAAAAAATAAAAGATAAAAAGACAAAAGAGCATAAGAAGGATAAAAGATAAAAGTAACATAAGAACATACAAAGACAAAGAAGATAAAAGATAAAAGAAAAGACAAAGAGAGAAAAGAGACTAACTCAAAAGGAACTCTAATTTTTAATTTTTTTATTATAGTACAATACATCACGTGAAATACAATATTATGTGTTTGGTGAAATAAATTAACTGATAAAGCTGATAAGTCAAAAACATGATCACCAAGCGAGCCCTTAGTTGTTATATATAGGCTATAGCTCAATGTTAGAATTGGTAGAGATGAGGGTTCACATGTCGAAGCAAGGATGGGTAGGTTCCGTTGGGAACACGTTCCGGATGTCGCTCGGTCTGTCGGTCACGACGACTGTGAACTGCGCCGACAACACCAGAGCAAAGAACTTGTATATCATTTCAATGAAGGGATCGGAACAGGGCACGAACCCTCTCTTGAGGCAAAGAGGCAATTGCCTCAGGCCCCAAAAATTTGGTAAACAATAAGGGCCCATAAATAATAGTATTCTAGTATTATATACTACCTCCGTCCCGGTGGACTTTGCCAAGTTGCAAAATAGGTGAGGAATAAGAATAGTAAAAACTGTGTGCTTGAAATTTGTGCAGAGAAGAGAGAAATGTGCAGAACCACAAATTAGTTGCTTTAATAGGAAAGTGGCAAAGTTTTTTGGGACAACCAAAAATGGAAAGTTGGCAAAGTCCAATGGGACGGAGAGAATATATACATTTTTCTATTTTATTAAAATTACAACAACACAAATAATATCAATCAAAATAATATGATGCAGCTATGTGAGATTAATTATTTGATGTAGGCATATAAATTAAATTACTGCTTACAAAACTTAATGTCAAAATTTTGCATTATTCAAAGGCCACTTTACAAAAATTCGATTCGGGCCAAAAAAATGTTAGGATCGGCCCTGAAAGGGAATCAAGGGTAGACTCAACAAATTGCCCTCTGCTTGAGTGGGAGGCATGGTTATGGCCCCAGTGAAGAGGGGAAAACCTGCTCTCAAGAAGAAGGTCATGTATGCTATCATTGTTCGCCAGCACAAGCCCTTTCATCGGAAGTATGTTATATGCATGTGTTTCGAAGATAATGTTGGAGTCATTGTGAATCCAAAGAGAGAAATCAAAGGGAGCGCCATTAAAGGACTTATCGAAAAGGAATGTGTTGATCTTTGTCCAAGATTTGTCTATGCTGCCAATGTTATCATCATCATTACTCTAGTGCCGCAAAGGCTCCCACACCTTCAGTGGGGTGGGGGGGGTCGGATGCACGCAGTCTTACCCATGTACTAAAGTGCAGAGAGACTATTTCTGGGTGACCCATAGTGAACATCGCGTAGAAAATTGCATGGAATACGACTATTTCATAACAAAGAAACGCACACAGTTTAGTAAGCCATTTTGCTTTATTACATCATTGCAAATGATGGAAATGTGCTGGCAATGCTATCGTTTAAAGTGGTTGTTTTGAATTGTGTTGAGCTTTTATTGTGTTTGTCACGATATTAAGATTTTGAATTGCTTAAGCAATGTTATGATTGTTATCTTTCTTTTGGTGGCAGAATATTTGCAAACTTCGAGTTTGTAAGAAGAATAAAAGACAAAGTAGGGGTGTGCATCAGGGCTGTGTATCGGTTGAAAACTGGTGATAGACACTAATTGTTAGTGACATTTTTATAATTGTTTGTGATGTTTATTTACTATTATTGTGCAAAGGTTCTAGTTTTTAGTTTGCATTTGATTGTAATTGTATTTCTAGCATTTAATTGTTTTTTGTCAGAAATAGTTAGTTGGGTTTAAGTTTAGGATAAGTTTGGAAGCAAAAAGGATGAAGAAACCTGAGTTTAGTGCAAAACCCGACCGGGTATGGCATTTACCCGGTCGGGTAAGAGGTGAAAAACGAAACTTCTAGGAAGTTTTATCAAATACCCAGTCAGGTATTCCATTTACCCGGTCGGGTAAGAAATGACTTCAGACAAAAAGACGTGCAGAAGAACACAAAGACGTGGGAAAAAGATTTTATTTGACAAATACCAGGTCGGGTATGTCAAATACTCGCCTGGGTATTCGGCCATAGGTGTTGAAAACACCTCTAAATAGCCTCATTTTCCTTCACTTTTAGATATTACTTCTTCCATACTCTTAAGTTCAGTTTAAAATAGAAGCTAAACTTCCATTTCTCGGTTTTGCTCTTGAAGCTTGTTGATTATTAAAGTTGTGAGTTCTTTTCTTAACTTCTTCTCTTGAATATTAATCCTTAACTTAATCTTATTTTTATATTAATGTTGGAGTGTTGCTAAGTGACGCTTAGTTAACACTTCGACATTAATTATTACTAGAAATGATCAACGAACCGATGGTTAATCGTTGGTGGTTTCACAAGTAAGTAACTTCGATTTATTAATGGACGGTCGTGGTTAATAAACTTAAGAGAGATTATTTTTGTTGGTTAAACCGAATCGGAGTCGTCGTCCATTGAGAAGGCGGATCTGGAGCTGGCGGTCGTAAATCAGAGTTGTCATCCACGGGAGGGGCGGCCAGCGAGGAAAACAGAGAACCTGGGCAGTGCTCCTGAGTCCTGCCGTGAACGAATTGAAGCTGAGGGCGGAGGTCCTACCATCTGCGAAGGTGAATTGCGCCGAAAATGGAGGCTGCGAGGTAGATTGAAGGCCGGTGGAGGAGTGAGGGCAGAAGAGAGAAGATGAAGCTGAAGGTAGCAGCACTAATTTTGTGCGGAAGAGGGAAGATGAAGCGGAAGAGGTGAGATGAAGCGGAAAAGGCAGCAGGTCTCTTTTGCGTCTTTTAAAATATTGCTGATATGTTTATCCAATCCAAGTTGTCAAGTGATATTGGTGTCATTCTTTCCAAAATAAAAAGGGAAAAGTTTTAGTGCGAAAAAAAGAAAAATGATATGTGGTCCATTTGGAGAAAATTTGTAAAAGGTGAGATTTTTGGTTGAATGATTTGCAAAGAAAATGAAAAAAATTGGAATA